AGATATCTAGATCTAGATTCTAGAGTAGAAGAGTCTAGATCTGGAAACTAGATCTAGTTAAATCTAATCTAGACTCTAGATCTAGACCTAGATCTAGACTCTTGATCTATCTAGAATCTAGACTCTAAAGCTAAAAGTACAAGTAAAAGTAAGACAAAAACTTGAAAATGTAAAACTTACAATGTGTAATCTTCACGTCGCTGAATATAAAACCGTCTCATAACCTTCAGCTCGTGCAGATTGTTTTCCACTTCCCATGATAGAAAGTCTACTTTTTTCAACAATTTCTTTTCGTGAAATTTAAGTTTTCTAACCATGTTGAAATGTGTTGCAGTTGCACTCTTGACTTGAACGTCAACGTTTACCCTCACCCTGATAACGTAAATAAAGAAGCATGGAACACACCGGAAGTTGCAAAGGGAAAGTACTCCCAAAATAAAATGAAGAAAAAACGCCGTTTTCGTTGTTCTCCGCTTTCAACTAGATCTAGAAGTATTTAATAGATTTACGTGAGTGATGAGGCATCGCACGCGATGCAGCGCTGTGCATTTATCGAGCGAGACGAACTAGAAATAAGAAAAGTTACGTAATGTAGAGGAAGAAAATACCATTATTTCCCAGAATCGATTATAAAGTTCTTTACATTATTTCCTGTATATCATGCTCTTCATGGGCTTAAAAACAATCAGTTTAGTGAATTTAGTTAGTTCGGGGGTTTTTTAGTTCTTCGATTGTTGTTGTTGTTATTATTGTTGTTGTCGTCGTTATTGTTGTTGCTGTTCTTGTTCTTGCTCTTGTTTGCTGCTGCTACTGTTGTGATCGGTATCATTGTCATCATAATCATATCTGGTTTATTGTTTTTTTAATATATTGTTTTGTTGTTTCGTTTATTATTCTAATCTACAAGAATTACGTTTGTTGCCGTTATAACCCAAGATTCTCACGAGGATCAATAAAGTGTAATTTATTTTATTCTTTTACGTTATTTCATCAGCCCTTTGTTTTCCCCTTGTACATTTCCCCAAGATCTAAAAGTGTTCGTCTAAATCATCTCACGGAAACTATGAAACTATCCCATTTAAAGATAATAGTTATGATCAAAATTACAAAATGTATTTCTACAATAGTGCATAGTGCCCATACCCTGCAGGGGCTAGGCGCTTCTAGATATTCTCAATACAATAATTACAATAATATATTTAAATAAACGTTTCATGCGTAGGCCGACCGGCCGGTCCATTCAGCTTCAGCCTACAATAATCTTTCAAAATAAAATAATAAAATGATAAGATAATAAGATAAGATAATACATTATTGTCATGGATAGAATTTTATTTTTTTTTGGCTGCACAGGGCCGTAATAATACATGCAGGTATAGTAAAATTAGATTACTCTCATTAAATTTCAAGATGAAAAAAGTAAAGCTGAAAAAATGTACATATCACATCAGATGCACTGTTCAACTATATGAAGGAATTGAATTACAAGACCTTTAGAGTTATATACATACACGCTCGATAAAGCAATACGTGTTGCTGTTTACTCTGACAGTAGTTTTATGCCAAATAGTATATATATGCACCCGTAATTTGACAAAGAATACAAACACTTTTAACATAATCACTGTGGCTTCTGATCACACATGCTGTTGGAAGGAGAATCAAACTATTTTGTAAAAAGAGATTTGAATTACAACAAATATGTTGTAGCCCAGATTTAGATGCGGTTAAAGCTAACCAACCATTTCCTTCTCTCTCTCTCTCTCTCTCTCTCTCTCTCTCTC